ACTGACTGATCGATCTGAACATGAACATGAACATAATTATTTATTAATAAAGGCTAGCTTAAAACTAAAAGCTAGTATTTTCCTTTATTAATAAAAATACGGGGCGTTACATGGTAGCCTTTGAAAGTAGGCCATATAAAGCATAGATTCGCGTCGCCTACTTGCTGAAAGCAATATAATATATATGACTTTCTGATACCGATTCCTCTACTGCTGAGGAGTATTGGATTACAGATAGGGATTATTTCCCTAAGATTATTATTAGATTATGATTGATTATTGGGATTTTTCATAGTGACTATGAGTATTGATAATTTCCAAGTATTGAGAAAATGTTGAGCATTGATTATTGTTTTGGAAATGAGTAGCATCTCAAATATTGTTTTTGAAATAAATTTGAAAATTTTATCCTGATTTTCGGTGAATAAAAGTGGGCGTTACAGTTTGGTATCAGAGCCAGTCTGCGTTTCTGTAGACTGGTTTAAGTATAATAAGTTGATTATGTGATTATGTGTTTCGAATTCATGTCAAGATCACTCCCTCTCGTCGTGCCGCACCAGCTCAGGTATGAGTACCTGAATGACTTTGAGATTATTGTATATTGGTTAATTATTATTATTAAAATGAAATCGGGGTTATGACTAATCCACCTTTAAATGTGAACTCTAGTGTTGAACTCTAGACTTCTTTTATTATTGTGCTAAATTGTTCGACCCATTTTCAATGTAGAATTATGGCTCATCGTAATGCTCGCAACTGTCAGCCTACTCCGTCTCCACCTCCGTCTCCATCTCCATCTCGACCTCGCCAGCAGGCTCTCAATCCGGCTGGGGCTCATCTCAACATTTTGATTCAATTTCGCCAGTTGACCCCGCCGACTTTCACCGGGGTCGAAGGGCCTGAAGCAGTGGCGGAGTGGATCCGTCAGTTAGAGCAGAATTTCGATTTGCTGTAGTGCACCGACGCCCAGAAGATCATCTGTGGCCGCTATATGCTGAAGGGCGATGTCTCCCTATGGTGGTCCGGCTATTGGAGGTTGAGGCAGGCGGAGTTTAATGCCCTGACTTGGGATCGAATGAAGGAGGTGATCATGGAGAAGTATTATCCTTAGAGTTATCGCATGAGAATGGAGCGCGCTTTCTGGGATCTCAAGCAGGGAGCAGGATTAGTTGAGGAGTACGAGCGAGAGTTCACCCGCATGAGCGCCTTTGCTCCACATATGGTGGACACCGACCTGAAGAAGGCCCACAAGTTCCAGGATGGACTGAACCGAACTCTCCGTAGCATGTTGCCAGCCAGGGAAATCTTTCCTTTGATAAGAACGTTATCTGAGCCGTCCAGGCTTGAGAGTTATCAGACTCTCGATGCTTCCGTCCCTTCTGCTCAGCTAGTTCAGCCTATTTTCTCTGCGCCGCCCGGCTCTAGTTCGGGCAAAAGAAAGTTTGATTCCCACTGGGATAACCGGAAGGGAAAGCGTGGAGCACCAGACCGTGTGACGTTCCACCAGCTGCCTATGGTCAGAAACCGAAATGCCCTAAGTGTGGTCGCTATCATCATGGAGATTTTCGTTTCACCCAGAAAGTCTTCTTCAACTGCATGAAGCCCGGACACTTCTTCATCCACTGCTCCGAACCCCCGAGGCAGCAGCCTTACCAGCATCCTGAGCAGCAGCAGTAGCTTCCTCCTCCACCTTACCAGTAGCAGCAGCAGCATAGGCAGCCCCCACCATACCAGCAGAGGGCTGGGGGTCAGGCTCGTGTCTATACAATCGCTCACGACGAGGCAGCCAACAACGCAGGTACCATGTCTGGCATGATTTCCTTATCCAATGTGCCTATCTTTGCGTTATGTGACACTGGAGCTACTCATTTATTTATATCTTATCAATGCTTGGAGGCCCTGTCTATTGATAATGTGTGCAACTATGATCCTCTCGAGGTTAGCCTGGCCTCGGGAAAAATTATTATCTCTAATTCTATGGTTCCTAGTCTTCAAGTTAGTATTGGTGGGCATGTTTTGGAAGTCGATTGTTATGTTATTGAAATGCGGGACTTCAATGTGATCTTGGGCATGGACTGGCTCACTCGCTATCGAGCCGACATCCGGTGCCAGGAGCGCGAAGTCAGTCTCTTCCCCGTTTCCGATCAGTCTGTTATTTTCTATGGGGTGAAGTCGAGGATTGTGCCTCGAGTCATCTCTTCTATGCAAGCTAGGAAGAGCCTTTCCAAGGGTAGCTGTCAAGGTTATCTAGTATCTATGGTATCCGAGGACGACTTTGAGAGGTCCCCGGAGAGAGTTTCTATCGTTTGTGAGTACCTCCATGTCTTTCCCGATGAGTTGCCTGGAGGACCGCCCGAACGCCAAGTGGAGTTCACTATTGATCTAGTATCGGGAGCCGGTCCCATTTTTAAGGCCCCTTATCGTATGGCGCCGCAGGAGCTTAAAGAGCTCAAGGCCCAGATTCAGGAGTTGCTCAATCTCGGTTTCATTCGGCCGAGTGTTTCACCATCGGGAGCGCCCGTCTTATTCGTGAAGAAGAAAGACGGATCGATGCGCATGTGTATTAACTATCGGGAGTTGAATGCCCTTACAGTCAAGAACAAGTATCCTCTTCCTCATATCAAGGACCTTTTCGACCAGCTGAGGGGAGCCAGCGTCTTTTCGAAGATTGTCTTGCGTTCTGGCTATCATCAGTTGAAGATCCGGGAGTCTGATATTTCTAAGACTGCCTTCCGTACCCTCTATGGCCATTATGAGTTCGTGGTTATGACATTTAAACTTAGCAATACCCCGGCCGTGTTTATGGACCTTATGAATAGGGTCTTTCATCCTTTCCTGGACCAGTTTGTCATTGTGTTCATCGACGACTTCTTGGTTTATTCTCGGAGTATCGACCAGCACCAAGAGCACCTGAGGATTGTGCTAGAGACTCTTCGCCACGAGAAGTTGTATGCTAAGTTCTCGAAGTGCGAGTTTTGGCTGGATCGCGTGGCATTCCTTGGCCACATTGTGACAGCGAGAGGCATTGAGGTGGATCCCAGCCAGATTGAGGCAGTGAGCAAATGGGATACGCCACGAAGTGCCGTTGATGTTCGTAGTTTCCTGGGGTTAGCAGGATACTACCAGAGGTTTATCGAGGGTTTCTCGAAGATAGCCCAGCCACTAACCAACCTTATGAAGAAGGCTGTGAGGTTCGATTGGAGCCCTAGGTGTGAGGAGAGTTTCCAGGAGTTGAAGAGGAGAATCACTACCGCGCCCGTTCTATCCATTCCCGACCCTACTTTGGAGTTCACCATCTATAGTGATGCTTCGAAGATGGGTTTGGGACGTGTCCTTATGTAGCAAGGGAGGGTCGTAGCCTATGCTTCGAGGCATCTGAACCCTCACGAGCAGAACTACCCCACTCACGATCTTGAGTTAGCTGCAGTCGTTCACGCCTTGAAGATTTGGCGGCACTACCTCTATGAAGGCAAGTGTGATATTTTTACCGACCACAAGAGCCTGAAGTACATTTTCACTCAGAAGGAGCTGAATATGCGGCAGCGTAGGTGTTTGGAACTGGTCAAGGACTACAATTGCACGATTAGCTACCATCTTGGGAAATCTAACGTGGTAGCCGATGCCCTCAGTCGGAGAAGTTATGGCCAGTTGTCCTGCCTTTTTACCGAGCAAGATGTCCTTCTTCGAGAGTTCAAGCGGCTATAGCTAGAGGCAGTGGAGCCACCTTCGACAGCCAGGGGTATGTTGACCTCTTTGGTTATGGGACCGACTCTTCGTGATAGGATAGTTGCCGAGAAACCGAATGATCATTTTCTTTGCCGGATGAAGGAGGTGTCGGAAGCCGGTAGAGTTGGAGGATTCGCAGTCGCATCTGATGGGGCCTTGTTCTTCGAGGGTAGACTTTGTGTTCCGAAGGTGTGGGAATTGCAAAGGGAGATTTTGAGAGAGGCCCATAGTGCCTCATACACCATCCATCCTGGTAGCTGAAAGATGTATCAGGACTTGAGAAAGTCGTTTTGGTGGCGAGGTATGATGAGTCAAGTGGCGAGGTTCATGAATGGGTGTCTCATGTGTCAGCAAGTGAAGGCTGAGAATCAGAAACCGAGAGGAAAGTTGCAGCCAATTGAGGTTCCCTTCTGGAAGTGGGAGTGCATCACCATTGATTTCTTGGTGGGATTGCCGAGGTCGAGGACCGGGCATGACTCTATTTGGGTGATTGTGGATCGCCTTACGAAGTCTGCCCACTTTCTGACAGTCCGGACGACTATGAAGGCTAGTCAGTATGCCGAGTTGTTCGTGGATGAGATTGTCAAGCTTCATGGAGTTCCCGTGGAGATCGTGTTTGATCTGACGCAAAGTTCACTTGCCAGTTCTGGAAGACCCTGCACCGAGCCATGGGGACGAGGCTGGAGTTCAGTACAGCTTATCATCCTCAGACAGATGGCCAGTCGGAGCGGACGATCCAGTACTTGGAGGACATATTGAGGGCTGTGGTCTTGGACCGTAGCCTAACCTGGGAGAGTGCCTTACCTTTGGTCGAGCTGACTTACAACAATAGCTACTACTCCTCGATCAAGATGGCCCCATTCGAGTCTTTGTATGGACAGAAGGTGTGAACACCCTTGTACTGGGATGAGGTCGGGGAGAGGAAGATCATGGGTCTGGAGTTCACTCTTAGAGCTGCGAAGACAGTTGAGGCTATCCGAAAGCATATCCGGTCAGCCCAAGAGAGGCAGAAAGTCTATGCCGACCGGAAGAGGGATGAACACGAGTATGTTGTCGGGGAGCACGTCTTCCTAAAGGTCTCGCCCATGAATGGTGTGATTCACTTCGAGAAGAAGGAGAAGCTTAGACCGCGTTATATTGGGACATTCGAGATCCTTGGCCGAGTCAGGAACTTGGCTTATCGGCTGGCTTTACCACCTAGCTTGTCGGGAGTGCATGACGTGTTTCGCGTCTCTATGTTGCGGAGATACGTACATGATCCCGGTCACGTGGTGGACTTCGGCGAACTGCAGGTCGAGTGAGACCTTACCTACGAGGAGGTACTGGTAGCCATATTGGACCAGAAGGTCCATCAATTGAGGAACCGGGCAGTGAGCTTGGTGAAGGTGCTTTGGTCCGACATGACGAGTCGGAGGCGACTTGGAAAAAGGAGGCCGAGTGTAATACCCCGTTCGTATGTGATTATTTGGAGTTATTAATTGTTATTATTATTTATTCTCTTTATTATTATTATTATTATTATTATTATTATTATTATTATTATTATTATTATTATTTGCTAATGTGATTATTATTATTATTATTGTATAGTTATTTGTTATTAATTATCTAATTGCCTAATATTTTTATTATTTAATTATGTTCTTATTTATATTTAATGTCTACATTGTCTAATTGTTATTATGTGTTTTAAATGTTTGTTATAAATAAATATTAATATGTGCATTATATATGTATATATATCCCGATTTTCATTTTAATTATCGTACGATCACTATCGAGACCCTACTATCGTAATTAATGAACCGAGAATAGGCCCGTGAGACTCGAACCCGACTCGACCCTTTGTGTTATTAATTTCGGCACTTTTTTTCTGCTAATTTTCGGCCTTGCAACCTATTAATACTTCAACCCAAATTGGTTCTAACTTCCGGTCCAAATGAAGTCTTGATTTTGCAACTATTTGGGTATTTAATTCCGGGTCCAACTGAATTAATCATCTTCCGGCCCAAGTGGCGTTAGTCTTGTAGCATCCCAAGTAAACCTTTTTCTTTTGGCCAAGCCCTAATTCAATATACTATCCATCCTACAGCTTTTATTTTCTTTCATCTTTTCTCTTCGCTCGTACGCAACAGATAGAAGAAACCTCTCGATCAACCTGCTAACTGATCATCCTCATCATTCCCTCCCATCTTCCCGATCATCATCCCACTGCCGATCAACATCTCGCGACTGCAACACCAGCACCACCCTCTGTTCCGATCGTTTCTGTCCATTCCGACAAGTTTGAACCAGTCCGGCGAACGAGAACTCTCCCTCGCCGCCTCTGTTCCGACCATCATCACCATTCCCGGAGGTGAACCAGCAGCGACCAACGCCACCCTCCTCCGTAGCAGGCTTCACAAGTTCGCTGCTCTTCCGCCAGCGAGCCCAAGCGAGAGCGGTCGAGCCGTTCGTCATCGAAATCACCGTCCCTGTTGCCGTTCGTGAGACCTGTTGCTGTCCCGGTCATGTTCAGTCCCGTACAGCGTCGCAAACCATCGTTCCCAGGTCCCGTGTTGCAGCCAGACGCCCCACGCGTGTCTCCAATCCCGTTCGATTCCGTTCCGTTTTTCGTGTTTTTCCCGAGAACGGTACAAGGCTCGAACTTCCTGTTTTTAAATCTTATATATCGTTTAAGTTATTCGATTACTTGATATGTGAACGTGAGTTTCGAATAAGTATGCATATGATTTTTTCTTATGTGTTCGTGAGAATATAAATATTGTGAGTATAGACGAGCTCTTCGATTTTGGGAATCGAACGAGATCTCGTCAA